AAGCCTACACTGAAGGGCTTCCAAGGCCAAACAGAAACCAGGGAGCAGTAAACCCATCACTTTTACAATCCTACCTCAGTCCAGCAGGAGACAAAGATGATGGGAAGGAAATATAAAACCTATCGCAGGGAGACCGCTCAATGGGGTCACACTAATGCCAGTTACTCTGTAAGAAAGAGCAGAGCTCTCCAAAGAATTTACAAAAATGAAGATGAGGTCCATAAGAAATCTAAGGATTTCCTAGTTGCTAGTAAGTTCCTTCAGGCAGGATCTAAAATTCATTAAAAAGCCAGGAATTTCTCTGAATTGTTAAAAAAAAAAAAAAGAAATTATTTGAAAGTAAGTCTTGAGTAAAAGTTTCCAATATAAATTATAAAAAGGGATCTAGTCCATGGCTACTATTCTATAAATACTATTGCATTTTTATTGTGACGAGAGGCTGTCTGCATTTGGGTATAGCACTATACCCAATGTGATTGACGTTAGTATACCAGGAGCGGCACAATCAACGAAGTCCTCATCTGTTCAATGAAAAAAAAAGTCACCTTGGGACACTATAAATGTTTTGAGGACTTTTGCCATTATTCAAATGCTTTCCAGATCTCCTGACTTCAAATTGCCCTTAGATATAATATAGCTCTTTCTTTTGACCCTCCTTAAAGCACACCTCTGTCATTTGGAAGTAAGTCAAAAATAATTCAGAGCCAAGTTTGAGAATTAGAGAAATATAGTGGGAGATCAAGTTGGGTTAGACAAGTTTTGGTTAAAAAAATGTATACAGATCCAAACAAGGACACTAATACTTCTAACTCTTGTTAGGTCAATTATTTCACTTAATAAATATTCCTTGTATCTGTATTGGGGATCCTCAAGACCTCCTCTATGTTAGGAGAATTGCTAGAAGGTCTCACGGAACTTACCATATAATGGTACTCATGACTAAGATTTATCACAGTGATGAGTAGGATATACAGTGGATGATAGGGGGAAGAGAGGTGGAGTCTGGAAGAATCCATGTGCAGCTTTCATTTGGCCTCTCCTTCTCATGACAGGTCACACAAAACATACTCTCCCCCCAGCTATCAAGGTGCAGGAACATGTATGTGATGTTTCTGCCCAACAAATCCCATCACAGGCTCAGCACCCAATGTTTTCATTGGGAGCTGGTCACATAGGCACCCTCTGCCTCGCATGCATCAAATTCCAGAGTCTCAGAAAGAAAGTAGGTTTTCAGTATAAACCATATTGTTTGCATAGTCTAGACCAGTGATGGCGAACCTATGACACGCGTGTCAGAGGTGACACGTGAACTCATTTTTTTGGTTGATTTTTCTTTGTTAAATGGCATTTAAATATATAAAATAAATATCAAAAATATAAGTCTTTGTTTTACTATGGTTGCAAACATCAAAAAATTTCTTTATGTGACACGGCACCAGAGTTAAGTTAGGGTTTTTCAAAATGATGACATGCCAAGCTCAAAAGGTTTGCCATCACTGGTCTAGACACACTGTGCCACCCTTCTCTGTTAGAAAAGGTTTATATCAGCGTAGGGAACTGTATATCAGCCAAGTTCCCAGAAGCCCACCAAAGACCAACCTTGCAAGCAAGACACAATGAATAGAAGCCTTCCCCATTAACCCTTTTCTACACACATGCATACTTTCAAAGTTCCTTTTTATCTGTGACAAACAGAACAGCAATGCCTCTTATGCTATTGTGATATCTATGATTAAAAAAAGAAGAAAAGAGGTGAACTATAAAATCTGTACAGGAAATGGGCCACCCAATGTAACTTTCAAACTCCTTTTTATGATGTAGAAGGCCCTTCATGATCTGGCCCCCACTTAACTCTCCAGCCTTGCCTCTTACCAGCATCTGTCTAGCAATTTAGGACCACTCTGTTCTTCAGATATGGGGCCAGGCTTTCTTGTCCCCAAGCCTAGGCACATTCAATCTTTTGGCTACTTTCGGTTGGCTTCTTTTCACCCATGAGAATGCAACTTGAAACCTTACTTCCTCTTGAAGCCTTCTCTAGCTCCCCAAGATTGGGTAAATCACTCTCCTCTGGTGCTCCCCTTCTTTGTACCTCTCCATCACAGCACGTCACTTACTGGTGCCACTGCCTATTTATCTGTAACCCCATCAGGCTATAAATTCTGTGAGACCAGCATCCTCATAAATAAATATGTGTTGTCTAAGTGATAATTATTCAGCACTCCCTTGGCTTAATTTAAAATGAACAACATAGGGTTCCCTGTGTAAGAAAGACTTGTAATGATTAATCATCTTCAATGATAATGCTATCATTTTTTATAAATAAAGCCATTTGCTTAGGAAACTGGGATACAAATGTACAAAATAATGAAGAGTAACTTCAGAAGATCTAGGGAAAATACACTCTTACTCTCTACCCATTAGGAACTGCTTTGCATCTTTTCCAAAATGTGGTCTTCTCGTTTCCTCCTAAATGTCTCTTTTCTGTCTTAAACTGTGCCAGAAGTGTCCATATCTTTATCTGTACCTCTTTCTCTTACCTTCCATTTAACTGGTTATAATAAACTGAAGAACAAGAGAGAGAGAAAGAGCAAGTAAACCTCCTAACACACACACCCACACACATACACCACCAAATGCACAGAGTCACATGACAGACATGGGGAAAGAGGAAAGTATTTTAAGGCAGAAACTACCTTGATAATCTGTGGAATATGACAGGAGGAGACAGAGAGGTTTTTTGTCACCTGCTCAGCAATGGGTATTTTCAGAAAGTTTCTACTTCACCTCCAGCTGTGGCTGTGGCCTCCTCCTCCCAATCTATCCACGTTGTTCTGCTCCTGTTTTAAGTGTTGCTCCATAAGTGGACTGGTGTGTTGTGGTCAGCAACTGTGTTAAGGTCAGGAGAGGAGCCAGAAAGTAGAATCCTATAGCCAGTCATTATCTCCTTTATCTACCAACTGAGATTCTCTGTGGCTAGAGTCTGAGAAAGTGAATTTTTAGAGCTACCCAGGTGATTCCTTGAACTCTGCCTGTTTTGAGAACCACTTCCCATAGACCTAGTGGACAGGGTGGTATGTACGTCAGGTTGCCTGAAAAGGAGTAGAACAATCTCTCACAGGTGTTTAGACCTAGGACACCTTCTACATCTATCCACACTGGGTACACAGACAACAGACTTCCATTCAGCCCAACTACTGAGGTCCATGGTTGAAAAAATAAATCTAAACTCCAGGCAATAGACTAAATTAGATCCTTTTTGGAATATCTCTGAAGTGCCATATTTTTATTCATAAAAATACTGTATATTATTACAAAAATTATTTTCTAAATTTATTGCTAAAGTCCCTATGAAATCTCTGAAGATTTCTTGAAGCTGAAATTAACAAGTCCTGCATTATCCTGAATATAAAGAAGTGCATAAAGATTTTTAACTAGTTTAAATTCTGAACTATGAACAGGCTAACAAAATTTAATCTTAGGGTAGATTATACCTAAGAGAAATGGCAACTCAAAGAGGTAATTTAAAAGAAAAGTTATAAGCTTTGCAAAGTAATGAAAGTACTTCTGTCACAACCACAGCGTGACAAGCCACACATTATAACAACTTGAAGCTGTAACTCTTGCTGTGTTCTCAGCCAGCTCAGTTAAGACATAAACTAGAGACTTTGTTATGGAATGCTGCCCAATGCTGTCAATTTAGAAACACTCTGCCAACTTGGCACCTAATTTCAAAACATTACTTAGCACAAAATTTAAATCCTATTGCTCTGTATTATAGCTTCACCCTCAGGGCTGTTTGGGGGATGGATTTCTTCAGCCACCTCAGATCCTGCAGCGCATGGATTCCAGGAGCACGGCAGGCCCGTTTGATGACAGTCCATTCCACAACGAGCCTTTTTTAAACCAGAACCTCTGCCTTCTTTCATTTTCTCATTAAGTTGAAAATGTATACTATTTATAACACTCAGAAAATAATAGGCCACTGAAAGCAATATGGACACAAAGAAATCACACACACATGAACCAGGGGAAGTGGTCACATGGTCTTGGGTCCCACAAAGAGAATCAGGAAAAATGCTATAGGAGTAATTCAGTTTTCATAGTTTAGAACTCAAATGAGATTTTAGAGATAAGAGAATCGCTTAACAAAATGTCTTAATCCTTGAGTGCCAACCAATATCCTAGGAACTATGCTAAAATTGCCAAGGCATTTTTGCTGATTTTACTCCCGGCACTTTTGGCGAAAGACAGGAGGAGCGCGATCACGCTCCCCGGCACTCTAGGGGTTAAAACTCTCTCTCTCACCCTAATAAATATCCCCAATAGTCTTCACAATGGAGGACAGTAGAATCCACTACTGAGAGTGCCGGCAGCTTCCAGTGAAAATATCTGCAATATCCTTAGAAAGGTAGCTAGATGTTGCCACTCAAGTCAGTTTACCTGAATTCAATTCATTTGCTGCTTGCTATAAGCCAGTCACTGAGTTAGTTCCCAGAGCATTACATGATTGTCAAAAAGAAGTGTAAGGGAAAGTAGAATGGAGGGAAATAAAGCGCACTGAGAATTTCCATGTGCCAGGTATTGTGACTATTCTATAGCATTTATATTAAGTAGATGATGTTATATCCTCTTTTTATAGAAGAGAAAACTGAAGTTCATAGACAACAGACAACTTATCACTAGAATGAAAGAGAATCCAAAACACTAGAAACAGAGATGTCTGTTATGTTCCCTGATCTATATCTCCAGCTCCTAAAACAGGGCCTGACTTAATAAATATCCAATGAATGTAAAATTAACTAGTCAGACAACTACTATTGATAGTGGAGAAGGCACATAAGAATAGAGCAACAGTTGTTTAATAATTATTCACCTTACTAACTATAGATAAGAATTTTTCTTCGACAACTGAGCGTCGCCGACCTCAGCGGCTGAGGAGAGCGGGACGAAGTCGCGGTGGCGGGAAGATGCTGCACTTTGGCGTAAATTGTAATCGATTAGGGATCGTTTCTCTGGCTCAAGTTAGAAGTGAGAGTTTAGATAAGTGAGGCCGCCATTGCTGCTTTGAACACCTCAGAAGGGGAGAATGGATTTATCAGGAGTGAAAAAGAAGAGCTTGCTAGGAGTCAAAGAAAATAATAAAAAGTCCAGCACTAGGGCTCCTTCTCCTACCAAACGCAAAGACCGTTCTGATGAGAAGTCCAAGGATCGCTCTAAAGATAAAGGGGCCACCAAGGAGTCGAGTGAGAAGGATCGTGGCAGGGATAAAACTCGAAAGAGGCGCAGCGCTTCCAGTGGGAGCAGCAGCACCAGGTCTCGGTCCAGCTCTACCTCCAGCTCTGGCTCCAGTACTAGCACTGGCTCAAGCAGCGGCTCTAGCTCTTCATCAGCATCAAGCCACTCAGGAAGTTCCAGCACATCCCAAAGCTCCAGTTCCAGCAGCTCCTCCGGCTCTCCGAGTCCTTCTCGGCGCAGACAATGACAACAGGAGGCGTTCCCGCTCCAAATCCAAACCACCCAAAAGAGATGAAAAGGAAAGGAAAAGGCGGAGCCCTTCTCCTAAACCCACCAAAGTCCACATTGGTAGGCTCACCAGGAATGTGACCAAGGATCACATCATGGAGATATTCTCCACCTATGGGAAAATTAAAATGATTGACAAGCCTGTAGAAAGGATGCACCCCCATCTATCTAAAGGCTATGCGTACGTGGAGTTTGAGAATCCAGATGAAGCTGAGAAGGCGCTAAAGCACATGGATGGAGGACAAATTGATGGCCAGGAAATCACCGCCACTGCTGTGCTGGCCCCTGGCCTAGGCCACCCCCCAGGCGATTCAGCCCTCCCAGGAGAATGCTACCACCACCTCCCATGTGGCGTCGGTCACCCCCATGAATGAGGAGAAGGTCACGTGTACATTGCTTTTTCGGCTATTATTGTACAGTCAGTACTATGAATTTTCTGTTTTGAAATTTTTTTGTAACTTTGTAGCATTTTAGATAATGTGTTTATACTTTGTTGTGTAGAGTAAAAGAATTGTGTTGAATAAATCTAGGATTAGAATGCAAAAAAAAAAAAAAAAAAAGAATTTTTCTTACAAACCCCTGGAAACTGAGGATGAAACCAGGCTATAAAAAGATAAGATGCCTCGATGGGTCTATTTCTCAGAAAAGAGGAGAAACCAAGATGGCGGCATAGGTTAACGCCGGAGTTTGCTGCCTCTAACAACCACTTCAAAAATACAACTAAAAGACGGAACCGACATCATCCAGAACCACAGGAAGGCTGGCTGAATGGAAGTTCTACAACTAGGAGGAACTGAGAATCAGAGGAGGCGCAGTGCTGAAGTAAAATACTAAGGTGCGGAGTGCGCGCGGCGCAGGCTGGTGGCTGAGGGCGCGGTTGTCTGTTTCAATCCGGAGGGAGCCTCAGACTCAGAGCTCCAGATCCGGGCGAGTCTCTAGGGACCCAGACTCAAACGGGAGAAGCAGGACTGTCTGGCTACGGTCCCTCTGAGGTTTGCAGCTGTTGCTGGGACAGAGAGGCAGAGCCCCTGGGGACGGACTGGGAGCAGCCATAACAGCTCCCTCCTCCACCCTGTTGATCCTGTGGGACCCGCCCCGCCCAAGCCCTGCACAGAGCCATTTGCCGGAGAGCCTCAGGCAAAGGCTAGATTAGCACAGCCAGTGGGCCTGGAGGTCAAATCCCTCTAGTATTAACTATAACAATCAAGGCTTAACTACAACAAGACTGCGCACAAAGACCACTAGGGGGTGTACCAAGAAAGCGTAAAAAATGCGGAGACAAAGAAACAGGACAAAACTATCAAGGGAGGATATTGAGTTCAGAACCACACTTTTGAGGTCTCTCAAGAGGCTTCTAGAGTCTGTCGATAAACTTGATGAGTTGTACAGGAAATCTAATGAGACCCTCGATGGTGTGATAAAGGACCATCTAGAAAGTAAGCATACACTGACTGAAATAAAGAATATTATACAGACTCCCAACAGCAAACCAGAGGAGTGCAAGAATCAAGTCAAAGATTTGAAATGCGAAGAAGCGAGAAACACCCAACCGGAAAAGCAAAATGAAAAAAGAACGCAAAAATACGAAGATAATGTAAGGTGCCTCTGGGACAGCTTCAAACGTACCAACATCAGAATTATAGGGGTACCAGAAGATGAGAGAGAGCAAGATATTGAAAACCTATTTGAAGAAATAATGACAGAAAACTTCCCCCACCTGGTGAAAGAAATAGACTTCCAAGTCCAGGAAGCACAGAGAACCCCAAACAAAAGGAATCCAAAGAGGACCACACCAAGACACATCATAATTAAAATGCCAAGAGCAAAAGACAAAGAGAGAATCTTAAAAGCAGCAAGAGAAAGAAACTCAGTTACCTACAAGGGAATACCCATACGACTGTCAGCTGATTTCTCAACAGAAACTTTGC